CTATTCATATGCTAGATTTTGCGACACCTATAGATTTCGCACCCTACCTTAGGACTTACTAGCATTGGCTAGTCTATTCACGAGGTAAACCTAACAGAGCAGTACATGTCCCACATATATATTCACCTGCATGTTCGCATATCCACCGATTTGGTTTTTTTTGTTTGTTTTGACGCACCCCAAATTTATGGTTACATGATATGCAGGGTGAGTTAGCTAGTTGACGCATTACTTAAACCAATAAAATTTAGAACGTGATTACAATTAATTAGTCTGCCTATAAATACAAAATGTAAAAATTTTTTACAATATAACTTCTTAGCATGTATATATGTACTAGATCTGGGCCTACTACAGTATATGGTTTAAAAAATCAGTGGAATATAATAGGCCCATTGATATTAACCAGCCATTACTGAAAAGTCTAATATTACTGATCTAACTATAGAAGTAGATGATTCTTTTCTTATTATTAATACCTTTTCCTTTAATGAATTATGAGGTATAGTCACTATTTTGTTTTGGGTGACCGATATATGCTATTGTTGATATTTAGATCGCAAGTTGCAATACTACATTTTAAATATATTTTATATTGTTTTTTTGATCAAAAAAAGTTATGACAAGCGTATTAGAAGAATAGCTTAAAAAAACTATTTCCAAAGGGTATGTTGATTATATCGATTATAATAAATTTACAGACCTTATTGTAATTGGCATTGAAAGTTTTGGAAAGGTTCTTAAATACAAGCAGAGAGACAGTGAATTAGCAGTTGTTCTTAAATGTTTTAAAGTTGATACAGATATCGAATAAGGTATTATTAGTTGTGTTAAAACTTTAATGGCTTTTTACAATAGAATTATAAATTAATATAATTCATATAATTAGCTTAAACTATTGCGAAGAGTTTTATGCCATCAAAACGTTATTACTTTTGAGTAATGGAAGATAAACTAATTTATAATTTTTGAAGACATCAACTAAATATATGTTAAACAAAAAAGAATAAAGTCAAATATATAGATAGCATAATATGGCTTTACAATATACTAATCAAGGAACTTTACAAGAACATCTAATAGCAAATTTACAATGGACAGATAAACTATATATTGCTAAGGAAATAGCGCCTGAGCTTTTATTTTTATAATAATATTATCTGGTAAATAGATTTATTAAGCTACTAATGCATAATTCGATCATTATATTTTGATAATTTAGCATTCAAAAAATATCTTAATTCATCACAGACAACTAATGATTACAGATTTTAGAATATCAAGGCAAATTAATGAAATTACTTCAAACCATAATCATGGAATCCGGAGTATGTCAAACCTCAATGCCTTGTTAACCATGGTTGGTGCTTTAGTTGATTTTTTCAATGCTGATAAAATTATTAATTTTTAACTGATCATAGGATTTTTAAATGAATGAGGTTGGAGGAAGATATTGGAATGTCGAGCTATATTTGGTTCGGACTGGAAGTTCCTAGCTATATGTTTAGGAATGAATGCAGCAAACTCCAAGTACTTTTGTTCGTGGTGTATTGTAGTAAATCAATATTGTTGAATATAATACAATTTCTAAAGATATGCACAAAATTAAAGAATTTTACTTAGCACTTAATGGATACATTCAGCCTCCTCTTTTTGATATGAATAATTAGCGATTTATATCATTAATTTATTTTAATGAAAACCGCTTGAGTTTATTAAGTTATAAAACTTCATTATATTCAAATAACGTTTGTTGTACAAGAAAATTTTTGATCATCTAATATAAACCTATTTGTTACATAAATAATAAAGGTGGAAGCCTATATATTCTCTATTTAGTATACGCGTTAATAATGTATGAGTAGTAATTGATATAATAAAAAATTAGACAAATTTTTAATAAAAAGAAAATACAAAATAAAAAGTAAATAAAAAATAAAAAAACCTACAGTTATCAATTTTTTTTGTCATATCCTATCTCGGTGTATTTTTGAAAGTAAACGGATGCCCTATGTTGATATTCAGCTCTGAGTCTATTTGTATAATAGCAATTTCCAAGAACATAGCCCATCTTGGCATATTTCTGAAAAAGGATAAATATTTTACATATATCTCGATAACAGGGGCCGGCTTAAAACAGTTTATCATAATAAACCATGTCAGTAGGTTTCTTGCAATAAATAGGCCAACATTCTTTTTTTTTTAACTTCGGTTAGGCGTTTATAAGATAAAAAAAAAAAATTAATATTTTCAGAAATTCAATAATATCGCATGATTAATTCTCCCAATACTAACTCTGTAACAATCAGGTATTGTAAATAGTCTTGTTGAAGAGTAGGCATCGTTATTTTGTTTTGATATGTTATTTTCAAGTCTAGACGAAGATTCCAAATAGAAAAAGATCCATCAATCCGAATTTCTCTCCAATCCCACTATTTATAAAACAAACAAATATCATAAGTCTGCAAATAAACATGTGTATTACAGTGATATCTAGGGTTGTTAATGAAGCACTCCAGATATTAATAAAACATATAACCCACTTCTGGAGTACTCCGGAGTGGGTTATATGTTTTACTATTGATT